ATTAGCTGGAGACGTTTAATCAGTGATTCGGCTAAACCATTTTGTGTGTGTACATGAGCAACTGGATGCTCAACAACAATTCCTACAGACATACAATAGTCATTAAATGCTTGTGAAGTAAATTCACCAGCATTATCAATTCTCACTCTTTTGATAGTATAATCAGGGAAATGTGCCCTTAATTTAATAATTTGAGCAAGAAACTTTGCAAATTCCATATTACGAGTTGATAATAGGAAAACATGAGACCATTTGCTGGATGCATCTATTAAGACCAATATTCTAATTGGCGTGAGGCGTGGCGTGACGGCAAGGCCAAACTTCAAGCTTAACGAGCCATGGCGATCCATGACGTTTTTCAAGGCGTGATGTAAGACACCGATTTTGTATTAATTTATAATTATATTACCACATAAATATAAATTTATGTTAAATATAACTACTTTTTAAAAGTGTTATATCAATACCTAATAACAAAAAGTTAACAAAAAACACAATACTTGTATCCCCAATTAGAAAAAAACATAACAAAGAGAAAAAAAACGTGCCTCAAACAAAAAAACACACACCATAACACGCCATGGTATGCCATATCACGCCTTTCCATGCGCTACGCCTAACAACAACGTTATGAAACTTTTCGTAACGGCGACGCCACGCCTCACGCCATGGCACGCCTTGGCGCGCGCCATGACGCGCCTTTTAGAACACTGATTAAGACCATAAAGTATCTAAATGGTCCAGATGGTGGATGAATCGGACCACATATGTCACCTTGAATTCTTTCTAGAAGTCTAGGTAACTCCCTTTCAACGTTCATTGGAGAATGTTTTGTAATTAACTTTCCAAGGGAACAAGATGTACATGGTCTTACGCTATTGGATTGAGGGAATTTTTGGTCCTTGAAGGGGTGCCCATGTGTATTCTCAATTATCTTTCACGTCATTGTTAATCCTGGGTGGCCCAACCTATCATGCCATAAACTGAATGTACTAGGATCACAATGTTTTCCTTTGATTACCATATTTGATTTAATCATATGTATATATGTATAATGCAGACCAGAATTAAGTGTTGATAGTTTTTCAAGCACATGGTTTTTGTCTATAATATATGTATATTTCTTATTTTCAATGGTCACAGTTTTTGTGTCATATCCTTTGAAATATATGTCATTGAAACTTAGTAAGTTTCTATTAGACTTTAGAGAAAATAAGGCATTTTCTATAGAAAAGCTTGTATCATTTGGTAATATAAAATAGGCTTTCCCAGTTTCCTCTATCAAGTCGGCAGGAGCTGATATTGTATGTATGACTGTTTTTGTTGGTACTAATTTTGAAAAATATTTCTTTGATTTCAGAATAGTATGCGCACTACCACTATCTGCTACACAAATATCTCTAACCTTTTCTTGGTGTTGTGTTCAAGTTGGATTCATATTAAACTTCACATATGAAAGAAATAATAAGTGAATAAACATAATCATAATAATTATTATAAAGAAAGTTCATTTATTTTAGGAAAGACATTACATGAAAAACAAATGAAGGAAAAACAGGTTTACTAGAACAATAATAGAAATTTTTAGTTTATGTCTTCTATGTCATTACAGAAATCAAAAGTTAGTGGAGTGAATTCAAAATTATCAATGAGGTTTGCTTCTTTTCCTTTTCCTTTAATGGACTTTTGATAAAGTTGACAAAGATGTGCAGGTGTGCGATAGGTCCTTGACCAATGGCCTGTGCTACCACATCTATAACATGAACCATCAGATTTTTGTGATGTCTCAGCATCATGCCTTGACACTTTGGCCTTGTCTTGTGTATGGACATTATTTCTTTGTGAAGATTGGTAGTTATTTCTTTTCTGGCCACGACCACGATTATTACCTTGTCCATGACCAAAATTATGGTTCTGATCATGGCTTTGGTTTCGATTAAAATAGACATAACCTCGTCCTCGTCCTCGACCACGACAACACACTCGTCCACGTGTATTGTTTTGATGACCATCAGTATTTGTAGCATTTGCTTCAGGAAGTGCTACTGATCCCGTTGGACGAGATTCATGGTTTTTCATCAAGAGCTCATTGTTTTGCTATGTAACAAGCAAGCATGCATTCAGTTCAGAATATCTTGTGAACTTTTGCAAACGATATTGGTGCATCAAGGTAATGTTTGTTGCATGAAATGTGGAGTAAGTTTTCTCCAACATATCTTCATCAGTAACTTCTTGTCCACAATACTTGAGTTGTGAATATATTCTGAACAAAGCTGAGTTGTACTCATTTACTTTCTTGAAGTCTTGAAACCTCAATGTTCTCCATTCATCTCTAGCATTTGGAAGTATAACTTCCTTTTGATGATCGAATCTTTCTTTCAAAAGATTCTAGAGAATACTTGGATCAGTAACATCAAGATATTCAAATCTCAACATTTCATCAATATGATTACGAATGAAAAGTTGTGCTTTTGCTTTGTCTTGTGCAAGCAATTATTAAATTCATATATAGCATTTGAGATTCCCATGGACTCAAGATGCATTTTTACATATATCATCCATGGCACATAATTTTTCCACTAACTTCAAGTGCTGCAAACTCGAGCTTTGCAATGTTGGACATATTGTAACTATAAATTTTAAACAAAATAAAAAATTAAAATTAAAATCCATTTATTTCAATAAATATTACACAAAAAACAAGCGGTAAAGCTAAAATTACATACAAGCCTAAAAGTAGATGCAATTCCATATTATCTTCGATGTTATGAATTGCGATGAAAAGAAACATGACTATTATAGTCATGATTATCACAAAAGGATGAAACATCTTAAAGCTTGATTTTTTGAAATTGATTTGTTTGATAAAAGAGAAAAATATTTGTTGTGGGTAGAATAAGCAGGGTAAAGATGTTTATTTATAGTAAAAAAATATAGCCGTTGTTTTTGCTGTTTATAACCGTTGCATATATATATATATATATATATATATATATATATATATATATATATATATATATATATATATATATATACACGTTGTGTATATATGTATATGTACATTATAAATCATTTAATAAGACTTATAACTAATACATAATTTTACTTGGTATAATTTTACTAATTTTTTTTGTTTTTTAGATGAAATATTATCATTAATTGTATAGTTCAATACATATCGATTGAAGGCAAACGGGCAACAAGCTGCGCCGCTAGCCCTTTCTGGATAGCAAAACCAATTCTTTTGAAAACTACATTTGTGGATCTAGGAGATATGACATTAGAATGCATGACCCGTTGGACTCTATTGAGGAGCTCCACCGCCTCTGGTGCGAGAAAACCAAATGTATCGAATGCAAAAGGAACAAACACATGTTGATTTGCTATACATGCATTCTCGTGCTTTACCACTTTGCACGCAACGGCTTTCAAAGCGGCATGCCCAGCTGTGAAACCCCCGCTCCCCAAACCAACGAGACGAGAGACCCCAGTAAGATCCACGCACGCATGCTTCCCTCCTATCCATCCAAAGACCAAAATGTCAGCCGGTCTAAGTGTGGACCTTCCATCCTGCGGGTCCGTCAAAAAGTTCACTGGCGCTTCTTTCTTCACAGAAATACCAGCACGCCGACAAGCATCAAAGAGAACATCCCGAACCACATCATGTCTATACTTGAAACCAGGGAGCATAAATAAATGTTAGTATATATATGAAGAGTATCTAAAATATGAATAAACATTGACATGTATAAATAAATGTAAGTATATATAAATAAAAATTAATTGCATAATTTAAATATTAGTATGCATAAATAAAAGTTATTTGCATAATGTGAATGTTAGTATGCATAAATAAAAGTTAGTTGCATAATGTAATGTTAGTATAAATAAAAATTAGAATACATAAACAATTGTTAGTATAAGAAATAAAAATCGTTAGTAGTCCATAATGTATAAGTTTTATAAATTCATTAGTATTATTATTATTTTAATATGATGAAGGTTTTTATAATTAATAATGTTTTTACTAAGTAATACATACCTTGATTAAGATAGATGTGATTTCCACTTGTTAAATAACATTGATTTGAACTTTCGTGTTGATATTGTGTTATAAATTAAGCGTAATTAATGTAACTTTAAACTAAACCAAACTAGTAACCTTGATAAGAACTTTAATTGAGAAGAAATAATATTTAGAAAAAATAAGAAAGTTATATCACTTACGAAAATGTAACTTTAGGTGTGTTTCATACTTTACAATGAAGGTACAATGGATGTGTATTTATACTACAAATTTTACTAACATATAATTATAACTAGTTAGAAATTTTGACAAATTTACCATGCACCAATTATTATGTCATGCATAAATTATTTACAACATTACCAATTAATTGCAGTTCTTTATGATAAAAAGATAAATTCTTTATGATAAAAATTATTAAAATATGAAATTAAAATTTTTTAACAGAACTGAGCACTGAAGATAATTAGGAAAGTCAATGTTTGTTTGATTAGGACATCGGTTAGGAAAGTGAATAGATAGCCAAAGTTGAAAGGTATAGTTTTTGTTTTTATGTAAATGTTTGGAAGAAATTTTTTATAAAAACCAAAATCTTTCTTAATAATTTTTGGATTAAAAGCCTCTCTCTCTCTCTCTCTCTCTCTCTCTCTCTCTCTCTCTCTCTCTCTCTCTCTCTCTCTCTCTCTCTCTCTCTCTCTCTCTCTCTCTCTCTCTCTCTCTCTCTCTCTCTCTCATTTGACATTTTTATCTTATAATTAAAAGTAAAAAGGTTTTAAAAAATTCTCAAATGTTAGTGCTGTTTTTTAATTAGTTTATAAGTTATCAATTAACTAGTTAGTCACAAATTCAGTTCGACGACACTTCCTGATGGCCTATAAATACTTCATGTAATTACTTTATTTTCACAACAATTAAACAATTATTCTCTTTTTCTTTCTTTCACTTTTGAGTTTTGACCGACACTTTTTCAATGATGAACTTGCAAAGGCAAAATTTGTTTGTTTTCTTGCTCTTAATCATAATCACCACCAATGTTTTCGCCGAGTGCACTTGCGAACGAGAAGAAGACGAGGGCAAAAAGAGTGAAGCACTCAAGTATAAACTCATTGCTCTTGCTTCAATCCTCATATTTGGTGGCATCGGTGTTTGTATACCCTTCATCGGAAAAATCGTTCCAGCACTAAGTCCGGAGAAAGATGGTTTCTTTATAATCAAGGCATTCGCTGCTGGAGTCATATTGGCTACTGGTTTCATTCATATACTCCCTGATGCATTCGAGACCTTAACATCTCCTTGTTTGAAAGAACACCCATGGGGAGAATTCCCGTTTACAGGTTTTGTTGCGATGGTCGCAACCATTCTGACTCTCTTGTTTGAGACTTCATCCGCGGCTTATCAGGTCAGATCTCATACACAAGCACGCATAAAGAATTATGGAGATGAGGAGATAAACCAGGCGCCTAGTGGTCAAGTGGCTGCTCATACTCATGCATCTCATGGACATGCTCATGGATCTATGACCCATGTTGAGGATGGTTCTTCGGGTTTATCACAAGTTGATCGCTATCGAATTGTTTCCAAGGTAAATTAATTCATCTTCTTCCTCCTGTACGTTTTCTGGAAATTATATAAGTTTTTTATATTTGTCCTATAAATCTTAAAGTTAAATTAAGGACCCATTATTTGATTAGGACGTTGATTCCTGGTTTCAATAGTCAAAATATTATTGGATAGCAAGAAACAAGCCATTAATGTCAAGCGTGAAAAGAATCTGTTGACCATAGCTTTAGCGTGCGAAGTCATCTGTCTCAAAGAAGTAAAAAAGCATATTTGAAACATTAAGCTTTTGTATTGCATGAACACAATATCGGTAATTTATTTATATAAATGTGTTAATTAATTAAACATGAGATTTTAAAATATTTTGATACAATTCACATTTAGGCGTTTGTTTGGATTGATCAAGGGACTCTAAATCAAACTGAGAAAGATGAGAATAATAGCATTATACAAGTATATTTACGAAGTGAAATTACTAATGGTAAAATGTATAACATCTATTATTTTATGTATATGGTGTATATCACATTTATTTGTGTAACTTAGATACTCCTAGAATATCTTAGGTAGATATTTACTTTCCATATGATAATTAAGGATGACCACTTGTATATACTGAGATATTCGGGAATCAATGAAATCAAGATTCTATCTTAGCTATATTTACTTTCCATATGATAAAAATGACCACTTGTATATACTGAGATATAAGGGAATCTTCGAAAACAAGACATTGAAGGCTCACAACATGTTTTCTAATAATTACTACTTAGTAGAACTCCAATTTTTTGTTAAATATATAATTGATGGCCGATTAAGAAAAATAAATTAGGGTATACATATATATAGTAATTTTTTATCAATGAAAAGGTGTTGCTATAAAAGGTAATTTATTTATGAAAGATCTTGAAGTATATGAAGTATATAATGAGAGAAAATTATAGTTTTTGATTAGGAATTTAGGGTTTGTGAAATTTTTAATTTTGGTGTTTTTTAGTTTTTTGTTAGTTACAAGTATTTATTTATTATTATTTTTTAAAAAAAAACCTTCAGATGCGTCAAATGTAGTTTGTCGGGCCAAATTTCCGTTTTCTTAGAATGAAGTTTTTATTTGGATATGCATTTGATTTGGAAAGGGTATGCATTTTCAATAGAAAATCAATATTTCTAGTAACTAGCCAGTGACATAAATGACGACAATAAATAAAATGAAAATGTAAAAATATGCGTTCATTATTGAATAATAACATAAACCAATATATACAAAATTTATAGCAAAATAATAACATAAAAGTAGTGTTTTTACGTTTTTATTTTATTTAGTGTCTTCGTTTCAACCTATTTCTAATAACACATTATATGTAACAATGTATATGAATCACATAATTTGCATTCTTTTCCCTAAAAACTTGTATACTACACTTGTGATTACTGCAGGTGCTGGAATTGGGCATCATTGTTCATTCAGTTATTATAGGATTGTCTATGGGTGCTTCTGAAAGTCCAAAAACCATAAAACCACTAGTCATTGCATTGACTTTCCACCAATTTTTTGAAGGAATAGGTCTTGGAGGATGCATCTTTCAGGTATTAATCTCAATACCAATTGTTCATGTCAGAAAATGTATAAGATGATTAATTGATTGAAGAACAATTACTAGACTCGAGCTGCCGACCCATCGATTCTATATACAAATGATGAAAAAAACGTATAAAGAATACATTACCAAAGATTCAGTACATTATATTCTAGCCATAGCCCACAGGTTCAACCTTTTTTTTTTTTTACATGAAAGAATTCATAGATAACAAATAACCCACTACAAAACCTTTCATTAATTTTGTTTCAAATGTAAAACTAAAATCATGTTGATACTTTTAACATCTCTCGTAGTTATGTACATGATTATATTAATTGTCATGAAAAAAATAATAACATAACAAATTATCTCATAAATAACTTTTCATTGATATTAAATACAAGATTAAAATAATTATGTTAAAACATTTAACAGTTCTTCAAGTTATGTATTTCATGATTAGTGTTGTATCACTAAACTAATCCATATTTATATAGAAAACCTAGTTCTAACATAGAAACCATCTTTGTCACTAGTTGACTACCCTCTAGCTAGAGAAGCATATATAAATTTTTATGGTATTTTTAGTTAAGAATTTCTTATTGTTATATCTTTTTCTTTATAAAAAAGATGACAATATAATTATTTCAAACTTTCTTGCAGGCGGAATTAAAGTCATTATCTGTAATTATAATGGGAGCACTTTTTAGCCTTACAACCCCTATTGGTATTGTCATTGGGATAATAGTAACCAATTCGTACGACGAAAATAGTTCTACTGCACTAATAGTAGAGGGTGTATTAAACTCTGCATCAGCAGGAATCTTAATCTATATGGCACTTGTGGACCTTCTTTCACCAGACTTTATGAACCCACGTTTGCAAAAGAAGAAGACGCTTCTGATTGGTTCAAATGTTTCTCTTCTTTTAGGTGCTGGTCTTATGTCGTTGCTTGCAAAGTGGGCTTGACTTTATTTATTTGTAAATATAGTGCGGGTGTAAAGCGATTATTTGTTTTCATATATTTATAACTCTGTGTTTTGATATTTTTTTGGATGTGTGTTTTGAAACTGATTATTTAATATGGATTACATAATCAGCGGTATGCGGCAAAATAATGTTTTGATTTGTTTTGTTGTTATACGTTGTAATATTTTATTTTGACGGTGTTGGGTGCAAATTATGATTATTATAATCATTAATTAATAAAATGAAGTTGTTATCTATATTTGAGATAATACAGTAGTCTCTATGGAGTTTGCATCAAATAATGCCTTCGGATTCCACTAACTTGTTTCTGATGTATTTGAAACATGTATGGGTTGATGCTTCTCATATTTTTCCTTGAATAATATGTAATAGATTCTTGCAATGCTAGTGAATGGCATGGGAACATGATATGTGTAAACAATTTAATAATTTTGCTTAATTGCCACTTTTATCACCGATATGGAATTGTTACAGTGAGGCATATTCACATAATCACAAATCTATAAGTTAGGATCCATTAACAAAATTAATTACAAAATCACCAACAATTATACGAGGTCAGTGTTTATTTGTTGGGTTTTATTCAAAAATCGAATTTAAAAACACATACATGACAACGGAAACATTTAAAATTTGAATAACATAAAACTATTTTAGTTCCACAACATCATCATTTTACATGAACATGTTAACAACCATAAAAAGAAAAGAAATAATATCCTTCGTGGCTTTTGGTTTATCGTGGAAGGTTTATGACCGTTAAAGAAGATGGAAAGAACAAAAATAGAACTCCTCTAAAGATATCCACAAACAATTACCAAGAGACTTGAATGTTAGTTCTTCTTATAACAAAAAGACTATAAACCTTTGAGAACAAAAGACAATTTTGTCTTAAAGGAGAGAAGGCAAGTATCACCTTTCTTTTTTATTTTTGTCTTAACTAATTAAGAGAAAAGAACATAGAGAGGAAGAATTGACAAATTTGCATGAGGTGGAGAGTGAGAGGATGAAAGTCTTTAACATGTAAATCTTTATCCAATGTGTCTTAACACTTTAAGACACACCATATCTCTAATACCCTATACTTAACTATTTTGTCAAGAATGTCTTTCTAAATAAAATAAGCACAAGACGATCCCTCTTGTCCCATCTCAAAATCTACAGAAAAATGAAGAAGACAAAAAGTTTTATAAAAAATCTTTCAATCTTTATAAGATATAAAGCTCATGTACATTTATATAAAAGACAAAACCCTTTTAGTCTAAATAAATGTACACGATTTTATATATCATATCTTATGATCTATTTTGATACTTGTTAAATCGTTGTCGCGCACGATTTAAGCAACTAATATTTTCACTGCTTGGTTGCACTAAAGGATAGCACAGGTAAGTAGAGTTGAATCTTCAGGGACACAACCTAATGGTCAATGCCTCTTACATAAAGCACATACTAGTCATTAAAACATAAAAATATAAAAAGAGGGTGTTTTGATTATTAATTAAAAACTAAAATTGCAAACTCTTAATTAACCAAAACAAGCTATTCCGTTAACCCTAATTTTTTACTGTCTAACTAAACAAACTCTTAATTAAGATCAGAAAAGTTGCATTAAAATCAGAAAAGTTGCATTAAAATCTCTTTTACCTAGTTAAATTAACCAAAATAAGCTCTTCTGTTAACCCTAACTTTTTACTGTCTAACTAAACAAACTCTTAATTAAGATCAGAAAAGTTGCATTAAAATTTGTGTAAAATTAATTCCCAGTAATACCTGATACTTCTCACAAGCTCGGAAGCATAAAGGTATGAAATTTCAGTTTATATCAGAGTTAAATCCCAACACGGAACCAATCTGATACTTTTTACTTATTATCAGTTGACAAGAACAATTACAGATTCTATTAACTAATTAGCTGGAATGAATAAGCCCTAGCTAGGTGATCAGACTAACAAGAATTAAAAATCAAACATTCATTAATATTAAAACTGAAACAACTTGATTGAAGCACACAATGATAACCAAATCTGATAACTGCTCACATGAAAAGTACTAGTCTAATGTAGAACTGAAAACTAGGGTTTTAGCCAGACATGGCTAAAAATAAATTAAAACTAATAAAAAGAGAAGCTAACTATTTAAATTTCGTAAACAAAGTGTAGTAGATGATCCTCAGCTTTCAGATCTTCAAAAATCACTGAAATCGGAGAGAAATTGCCTTATAAATCGTCTTTTTCATCGTCTGGAGCTTCAGGAATCGACTTTGGTTCAATCTGATCAGAGGGGTTATATTTATATGCATGTTAGAAGCTTCTGGAGCAAGTTAGCCAAAAATACGATCACATATACATAAAAATGCAATCACATTTTTTTTCAAAATCTCCAGATTTATCAGTTAATGAAGTACAATGCTATTTTCAATATTTTTTGAGTTGCCTCATGGAAATGCGATCTCGGATTGGCAAAAATATGCTCGAATTTTTGTTTTTTCACAAACACAAAAGTCATCCAAAATTCTATCTAGTTTCTGGAACATTTTGAATCTCGTCAATCGAAGTTATGAGTCATGGGATATGGTCAAAACACTGACAAGTGGTCAAAGCTTCCAACAACATCCTCTAGGCTTTGAATGTAGCAATCTATCTTCGTAGGAAATTCGATCGATTTTTTCTTGACCAAAGCAGCTTCCAAGCATTCCTTAGAATCGTTTATAAGTTCCAAGCTCCAATTAACTCAAATGCTCCATCAAACACATCCAAAGCTGCTCCAAAGTATTACTCCACTCGAATTATCTGAAAACGACACAAAAACGCTAACAGTACAGGAATTTGACAAAAGACATGAGTTGAACATTATTTAAACTAATTACATGCAAATATGAAAAATATTGTGCTAAATTCTAATAAAAGCTACCCTAAAAGATGCATAAAATAGCATCCATCAAATCTCCCCAAGCTTGAACCTGAATTGTCGTCAAGTATTAAAAAGATTAAACATTGTAAACAAATAGAAATATGTAGATGACCTAAAAAGAATTTAGAATAAAAGCTGAAATATATAAAAGACAACTAAAAACTTGAATTAAAAACTCTTCACTTTTTTTTTCACATCACCAGACTTAACACCAAGGGAAGCTCTAATGGAACCATTACCTAGACAATCATCACAATACCTTCCATCTTTCATAGATTCCCAAAGTCAGGAAGAAGCTTGATGGTGTGAACCAATAAACCACTTGTAACTTTTATTTAAACTTTATACATTAATTAGCCTTACAAGAAAAATATAACATATTTCAGAATTTGATGTCCACTAGACAAGATAATTAAGGACCAGGGTCGACGCATCCTTAAGAACCCGTCATGTCAAATCAGCTTTCGCTGAAACAGTGAGCCAACCCTAGGGGCCAATCTCCTATGCTTTCACTTTTCTGAGAACGAAAAATATCATATAACACAGTTCTTCATTCGCACCATTTTTGACTTAGATATGGCTTCTGAATTGATTGAACTTGAATCTTTATATTTTTGCCTTCGACTTTGAGTTCTTCAATCGCCTTTTTGAATTTGTTTAGACTTGTTCAATTAAGTGCTTGAAATTTAACTTGGGTATCAAATATGACAGTTCTATCCTTTTTTTCTTTTTGAGTGTCTAGATCTAATATAAGGCTCTATGTTAACGCGAGGGTAACGCGTTCCAACAAATAGGTCTGTGTTTTGTACGTCCAGATTTGTCAAGCAAGGTTTTTTTTAAACATTCAAAAGCAAATAATTTTGAAAGTGTTATTATCGCCTACGTAGTGTTTCGGTACGCCATTTTTTTTTATTTTTTTACAGCCGACGTCTCAGACCACGGTGTTTTGCGACTCCTAGTTATGAGAACTATTACCGTACTTACCACTATCGATCCGACCGCTTCAGACTTTCATTTTCCATTTATATACAGCTGTCGAATGCAAGAATGTCCTCATATCATGTAACTTTTTTTGTAAATTTTTTTTATCATTATATATATATATATATATATATATATATATATATATATATATATATATATAATATTATGCAGAAAATAAACACTGAAATAACTAGAAATAAAATCTTTTTGTTTTTTTACTGCAGAAAAATAAAAACACAAACATAATTTTTCTTTTCAAATTTTTTATATGCAAGTGCAAAAAATAAAATGTAATAAGTGAAAATTGAAAAAAAATACTGAAAAATATTTTTTCCAATTTTCACTTTTTATATTTTATTTTTTGCACTTGCATATAAAAAATTTGAAAAAAAAATTGTGTTTGTGATTTTATTTTTCTGCAGTAAAAAACAAAAATATTTTATTTCTAATTATTTTAGTGTTTATTTTCTGCATAATATATATATATATATATATATATATATATATATATATATATATATATATATATATATATATATATATATATATGCAAGTGCAAAAAATAAAATGTAAAAAGTGAAAATTGAAAAAAAATACTGTAAAATATTTTTTTTAAACAAAAATGCAATTTTTTTACACTAACCCTCAAGCTTAAAATGATGTATTGTTCTCAATGCTCAGAGAGGAATGAACAACTCAATAAAGCATGTAAAACCAAGAAGGTGCAGCTAGGAAAGAATGTACTTCTTAAGGTTACAGAAAATCTGATTTTAACGAAGATGTTGACGAAAAATCTGAATTTCAGCAACTTTGAAGATCCTCTGATTTTTCCCAAACTTGCTTGGAACTGCAACCATTTCTTTATTGAAAACATCAAAATACAAACTAAAACTACGTGGGTTGCCTCCAAGAAAGTCACCTTTTTTTAAAGTCGTTGACTCGACTTTGCCCAACCAAATTTGCAACTAGTGTGGTTGGTACTTCTCTGTAGCTCAATTCTTTTCTTCCTTACTCCAGATCCCATTAGATATGCCAGAATTAGTAAATGAGTGGTTGTACAACAAACTGAAAAAATTTAGATT